CGAAAAGAATTCTCGGAGCGGGAACATCGCGAACGCAGCTAATATCGTAATATTCGTTCATTATTATTGATCGACGGGGGATGTGAATCATGCGTAGTCGCAGCTCGCGTCTATCGGTACCGGTGCACGCTCGTACGTAATAATATTCCGGCTGTGGTGGTTTCGTACGCGATTCCACGCATGTACCTACGCGTGCATCGTGAAAAGAGACACGCCTAAGTCGACAGCATTGTTAGGACTGGCGCCCGTGTGACAATAAGGCCGAGGAGAAAAACCGAGGCTCCGTGAACACAGGTGCGGTAGAACACGTCGTCCGCCTTCTTCCTTCCACGTTTTTCACCATCTAATACCGATCGATTTCGATTTCGATTTCGATTTCTCCAACCGTTTGTTCATCTCCTCTGTTTGGCAGTTTTTACGTTTCTCTGTCTCTCCTTTTCTTTTTGTTTATTATCGTTTTGGGTGAAGATGTAGAGTAAATAGTGGAAATTATTCTACATAGAAATTCATTAGCAATCGATCATCGTTATTTGCTTCTCTTATTTTCAATTCCCAGATATGTATAAGAATTTACACACGCACGAAGTCACGAATAATAAATTTCAAATAATATTTGTATCGTATGAATTGTGAGTAATTTGGAGCAGCAATAATTTACAGATTATATGTTATATACGCAATGATACACGAAATAATTTAAAGCAGAGTGCTTGTTGTAATTTTTTAACAAATTTCTGCATACCTTTTATAAAAATAAAGATAAACCAAAGTGTTCATTGTCTATTCAACATATAAAAAAAAATATTTGTAAAAATTGCGCAAAAATTCACAGTCTATCGATTCCAAAGTATTTCAAACAAACAAATAAACAAACAAGAAAAGAAAAGATAGGTAATCGTGCCACAAAGAAAATAAGATCGAACAAGACAGGGGGCACTTCTTTTTAAACTTCTAAAAATATTGTAAAAATTGCGCAAAAATTCACAGTCTATCGATTCAAAAGTATTTCAAACAAACAAATAAACAAACAAGAAAAGAAAAGATAGGTAATCGTGCCAGAAAGAAAATGAGATCGAACAAGACGCGGGGCACTTCTTTTTTTTCCCCCAGCCATCGGTCGATGCTTCTTCTTCGAGGAAACCTCGAAACAGACGATTTATAAGCTCTTTAGAAGCCATTACACGTTCTACGGTCTCCCAGAGGGACACGCGAACGAGTTTCGGTGAACTTCTTCGGTGCATCGTCCAAATGCAGTAAACGGTGCATCGTAAGCTGCATTCTGAATGATACCGCTGCTACTCGATGACAAGAGTTTCGAGATTCTCCGAATCAGTTGCACGGAATGAGCATCGAAACCGAGATAGACGCGTACGCGTGAAACTGTGCAAAGTGGTAGAGTAAGAATTTAGACGAACGAGTGATTTAGCTATATCATTAGACAGAAGATTGTTTTACTGAAATATGAAACTGAAAGGATAATGAAACTTATCTAGAAATTGTTGCCTGATTTAATTGAACATATTATAATTCACATGATTCGTGTGAAATTCTATCTATAAAAAAAAAAAGTCGTACACCTTTTGACACACCTACTTATTGTTATTATTATTTTGACATTTGTTCTCTATCATGGTGAATATCTTAAACAGCAAGACAAAGTTGGAACTTCAAAAAAATTATCACAATTCTCTGTTTACCTGCAAACATCGTGTCTGGAAGGCTACTTTTCACTAGCTATTTTTAGGTGATACTGTCTCACTCAACAGAACAAAACAGGAATGAAATTCGGCGTGTAAAATTTAATGTCGTACAATTTCCGCGTGTTTTCGCGCCGAATTAAGCAATTAGGGCATAACTTTTAATGTCGGGTGAAAAATACACGGGCGACTGTTGCAGTAAGTATCACGGGCTGAGCAGTCGCTCTACAATTTCGGACCGATATCTTGAACAATATACGGAATCTCGTACATAACGGTATAAAACGCCGAACGAGTGGAGTTCGGGAAATATCGCGGGATGTTTGCAAGCAAGGCATTAAATCCAGGTCAAAATGCACCACTTACAAAGATTGAGAGAAATGGTTAAACGCTGGTTTCGTCCATCGTCGTGCTTTTTGTGCCATCGGGCAGATCGCTTTGTTCTTTAAACAGAGTACACGTTGATGTTCGAAATTCACGAAATATAACAGAATCTCTGTGTTCGAGATGCGCAGACGTTCGATTCATTACCGAACTCTATCGAAACCAAATTGGATACAATCATTATTTTTATATCTATTTTATGATATATTAGATTAAACGATGAAATGTATAATGCGAGAAACAATGAGATCGATGAGTTTCCTTATCGGTATGTAATTAACGAATTTTAATTAAAAATATTCTGCTTTTGAAAAATTCCTCCTCTCCTAATCGCAAGTGCTGATCATTTGAAACTTCGACGAATTAATTTTACGTTTATTTTCTTCGATCGAATATATGTATATGTTCTATATATATATATATATATATATATATATATATATGTTTATAACAATTTAAGAACTTCTGTTTTTAGATCTTCTATAATTGGAATGTGGAATGTACTATGTTTCTCGTCGAGTCATTCAATTCGTTCGAATGTCTTGCCATTTTCAGTCATGCCTCTGTTACCTTCCTCGCAAACGTCGTCAGAATATCATGTAATAACAAAATCATATTTATTCCAAATAATATATAAAAACTTTATTAACTTTATTAACTTCAATTGCAATCAACGCAAATCTTTATTTATAACGTAACGACTATTGCTTTATCCTTTCTGTGACTTGTTACTTTGGATCATTTTACACAACACGTTACTCATGTTTATAAAAATACGAATTTTTATAGGAATCCGAAGTTTAATGAAAAGTTAAAACTACCGATCACTCCTTTTACTTTGATCCAGCATCAACTGAAACGTCTGATTCACAATAAATTTTACAAATCGTGTCAAGAATTTGACCCGTATCCGCATGAAAGAAACGACGTCGTCTATCGTATTCGCGTGAATGGCGTTGTTTCGTGTCGTGAAAGGGAGCGTTGTGGTTTCCGTGTTGCGAAACGGGCCGAAGAAGAAGAAAACGATGCGGTTTGGGAAAAATTTTCGACGATGGACCCGGTTTGGCGACGCTGAGCGCCGTTTCTTCTTCGTTTTTTTTTTTTTTTTTTTTTTTTTTTTTTCTTTCTTTCCCGTCTTTTCTTTTTTTTCGATCGGAATCAGGATCGTATGACGCGCGTGTGCCCCAGATATCCTAATATGTCCGGTGGCTGTTACGTGTCGCGCGTAAAACTGCAGCCTGGCGAGTTTCTACTTCCATTCAATCAGCCGTAATTGCACCGCCGCCTTTTGTCGAGTTCCGACATTCGTCAAACCCGCTTGTGACCCGCTTCTTCGCCACGTCACGGTGGCACTTTAGGCCACTCACCGTTACCACTATCCTCGTCGCGTGACTCTCGTGGATTTCACCTCGGACGTATGCAAATACGACAGCCGAAGGGATGATACGCGCTAGCAGAATCTACCGGGCCATTCGTTTTCGGAGTGAGCCGACAGCTTTCCCGCTTTAAACGCTCACAACGATCGTAGTTTAAACTGCAAATCTTTGGTCTGGATCCAGTAGAAAGATTCTTTCCTATCAGAATTTACAAACTGATCGGCTCGCCAGTGAAAAAGAAGAAGAAGAAGAAGTATAAAAAATGCTTGAGAGATAGAAACAAAAGTATACTTGACAAGAACAATGGCTAAGAATAAATTATCGAGATTATAGACGCCACGTTAATATTCTCTGAGATCTCGAGGTGGCAAGAGCCTAGGTTTTTAAAACACTTTGGCGCCAGAATTTGCGAGGCGATCGACTTCGCCAATGGAAGAGACAAGTGTTTTTTGAAATAAGCTCCGAGTTTTCAACTTTAAACGCTCGAGCCATTCTTCGAGTTCACAAACACTGAAACTCTCTCCGATCTGGTAGATGCCTTGAACTAAGCACAAGCCTTTGGAATCGTATCAAATTCGTAAGTGAACTACAATTAATTCTCTTCGAACGAGTCTTAGTACGAACGAAGAAAAGAGATGAAATGTAAAAAACGATACTGTAGGAAAATAGGAAAACAAAATGGAATATTAAGGAGATAGATGTGCAGGAGAAAGCGACACGAAGTATTAAGCAACGTTAGTTAAGAAAAACTAACAAAGACTAGTAAAAATCGAGATTTTGTAAACCGAGGAAATTCTTAGCTGTGAGGCTGAAGTTAAAGAACACTTGTTACCTTTTCATTTCTTATTCCTCGTCATTCTAAATGGCGGAAATACGCTTACGCAACCGGACTGATGCCTGAAAGCCTCTATTGTGATAACACGTTTTCATTTCTGCTAGGACAACAGCAACGAAAAGTCTGCCAGAAGAAAAATGGCTGGAGATGCGTGACAAGATTATTGTATTGTACGAGTGAATATTACACGTAAGCACAACGTGATGGGTCTCTAACAATATTGATAGAGATATAAATTCAAGGCAGTAAGAGACTTGTCAACAAAGTTATTCTCGTTATCGTGCTTTAAGAATGTCATTTAAAATAGAGAAGAGTCTGTAATAGCGTGAACAATTATCTGTATGTAATAAAATAGAAAGAAAGATAGAATATTTCTAGAACGAATTGTAACTGTTTTTTTTTTTTTT